AAAAATATTTCTGATGGGAAAGACGTGAACATTCAAGATATTAAATTGAAGGATAATCACGTAAAATATGAGAAACTTTTAAAGGAGCACGAATCGCTAAAGGAGAAATTTGATTCTGTTATGAAAGAATTATCAGATGAAAAAGAAAAGAAGAAAACGCAAATGAGTGGTAAGATCGAGGATAAAAGTACAGATTTGCAGAATCGTAAGTAAAATATTTTTAATTTCTTTAATAAAAAATTATTTACTTTTTATTTTTTTATTACCAAATCTTTTATCATAAATTTATTCTGATGTAAAATGATTCAGTGAAAAAAAAATTGGACGAAGCTATAACATTGAGAGAAAACGAAAGAAAGGCATGGGACCAGGACAAAACAGCATTGTTAGAAGAAAAAGAGAAGCTAAAATCGAAGCTCCTCTCTTTATCTGCGGAAAAACTTAAAGTATACAATGAAACTGTACAACTGAAAAAGGATTTAGGTAAAATTAATTAAAAATTAAGTTTAATTAATAAAATTACAAATTTATTTAGTTATTAAATAAGATTTTAAAATTTCTTTTCTTCTTTTCTTATCTAATTCTTTACAGAAACGGTTAAATCGTCAGAAAATGAAATAACAAAGATGGAAAAAACAATAACTGAGTTGAAAAAAGAATTAAATCAGGAACGAGAAAAATCGAAGAAGATGCAAGATGATTTATCAACATATACGGAACGGGAATCGAAAATGATACAATCAATGAAATCAGTGATTATCAATTTATCTCTTAATAAGGATAAAAATTGAAGAATTATTAATATAAATATTGGAATTATTTTTCATTTTTTATTTTTTTTCTTTTCTTTTTTACAGATAGAACAGACGAAAACCAAACTCGATACTGAAGTAAAGCGATTAAAGAAAGAGTTGGAAACCACAACATCATTAAATTCCACGAAAATGAATGATTTAACTACAAAGATTTCAGAATTAAAGAAAGAAAAAGAGAAATTATTATCGGAAATTAATCAAGAGAAACAATCAAATGAGACTGAAGTATCTACTTTAAAAAAGAAAATCAATTCATTGGAAAAAACAGGATTGAATGCGAAACGGATGAATGAAATGAAGCAAACATATAATGAAAAGATTTTGAGTAAGTTACTTCACTATGATGGCATGAAAAATATCAGAAAATTCTATATAAGATAACAGTGACTTATATTTTAGATTTGGAGAACGAGATAAAGAAAGGCGAATCAGAATATGATAATTTGAACAGAAAATACAATGAATTGACGAATTTGAAAAACCAGTTCGAATCGGATAACGAATCATTGAATAGGTAATTGTTAATACTATATATTAATTATAATAAGATATTTTTGTATTATACCTTTTTTTTTTAAATAGTAAATTACGAGAACAAAATACGGAGTTGACAAGTATTCGCAAAGAATTAGAATTACTGAGACAATCGATAAAATTGAAAGAAAGTGAATGGCGGTCGGAAAAATCAACTCTAGAAGTAAGTTATAAATTAAAATCTTTAATATTATGAAGAATATTGCAAATTTCTTTACCTTTTTTTAATGTAAATTTTTCAGAATCGTATACGGGAAAGTGAATTGCCAAATAAAGCTTTGATAACAGATTTAAATAATGATATAAGCAATTTGAAAAAGGAAAACAATACATTAGTAACTCGATTAGAAGATTTAAGAAAAGCGGTAAAAAAATTAAACTATATTTATTTAGCGATAATTATACGTAATTGTATAATAGAATAAATTTTACTTTAATATATATGCTTCAGAACGATGACCTCTCTAACAAGCTAAAAGATTACGAAGCAGTATCGAAGATCCACCAAGTTTTGACACCGGACACTACAGCCTTGGAATCAGAAATACGAAAGTTGAAAAATGCCCTTGAAAACATGGAAAAGGCGAAGAAAGCTGACTTAGCTCAATGTAAAATGCGTTACGAACATAGGATCACTGCTATTAATGATGAAATTCAAGCTATTCAAAATCAATTATCTAGATATAAACGCGAACGTGATACTTACAAACATATGTTGGAAGGTGCTCAAAAAACTATTGCAGAATTAAAGTCAGCCAAAGATAAACAATCGAATGCACCTTCCGGAAAATCTGATGAGGTTGGTTATTTTTAATTTCGTTTAAAAATAATTCTTTCACTTTTATTTACAAAATTATTCGCATTTTGTAGGAAGAGGAAATGTCTGGTGTCAATGCGTTGGTTCTGGAAAAGCAAATTAATAGTTTGGAGGATGAACTTTCAGAAACAAGATTAGAGGCATCTAGATTAAAAGCCGAATTAGTATCAGAAAAATCAGCAAGTCACGTTAAAGTGTCTGAATTGCAATCGCGGATTAACGAGGTATTTAAATGATTTTGAATGAAACATAATTATATAATTTTCGTTTTATTTTTATCTTTATATTTATAGCTTGAAGAAGAGAGAGTGCTTTCTAGCGGCAGAACAAAGATTCCAGGATTAAAAGTTCGAATGGAGTTAGCATGGCAAAAGGAAAGAGAAGAACATCAGAGATTGCTACAGGAAACGGCTACACTGGCGAGAGATTTACGACAAACTTTATTTGAAGTATGTGATTAAAATTACTGTTACTGATATAAGAAAACAAATAATTTCTTTTTTTGTAGATTGAGAGGGAACGTTCCAAAGAACGATTGGAGAATAAAAGACGACAAGATCAATTGAAGAAAGTGTACGATGAAGAAAAAGAAGAAAGTAAGAAGAAATTATTGGAGGTAAATAAAAATTTTGGAATAATTTTAAAATTTCATTTATTAATTGTAAGACGTCAAAATATATTTATTTTTACAGTTGCAATGCGATTTGCTTGAATTAAGAGATGCTCATGCAAAACTGAGAACCAGCAATGAAAAAATGAGACGTGAAAAAGAACGGCATGAGAAGGAAAGAGAAGAGCTTAAAGATGTAATTTTGAAAAAATGTAAACAAGAACAGATTGAATTAAAAAACATTAATGTGTTGATGCAACAAGTCAATGACTTAATGAAACTTTTCCCTGAATTAAACGGTATAACAGAAAATGGAACTGCAAATATTTATACACCGACTCCACCTAGACGACTAAAGGTGCGAATTAACTAATTCAATTAATTAAGTTGCAAATAAAATAATAAGTAAACTAATAATAAATAAAATAATTAATAAATCTATATAAAACATTATTTTTATACATACTAGGGACCAAAATCGAGGGAGTCATCACCAATGTTGGATGCAAAAAATGATATAAGAGGTGTGATTAATATTAATTATTTTAAAATTATATTATGATATATATTATATAAATTTTATAATATATAACATATTAAATTTATTGTTAGGTTCTCAACTTGGTGAGCGAACAGAAAAATTAGAATATACTGTTAAAAAATTAATGGATGTGGCAAAGGAACTAAAAGAATCAAAGAAAACAGCGGATGAAGTAAACGCAACACGATTGAAAAAACTTGGCAAAAGGTATTTATTAATAACAGTGACCAGTTATTTATTTAAATAAATTTCAATCAATTTTATAGATCGACATCCGTGGAAAGTGATCCAGGAAAAGGTATAACAACATCTCGTTCAAAACCACGATTAAAGAGAAAAAGTCTATCTTTGGAACAAACATCAGCACGAAATGAAGAAGTATATAAAATATTTACATTATTAAACTTTGTAGAATAAGTAATAAAAAAATATTATTATTTATTTATTTATAATTATATAGTCACGCATTTGGGGTACCGATAGCAATATGTCTAGTTTGCAATCATTAGAAGGTTCGGATGTTGAAGGACGAACGTTGAATTTACAGAGAGATTCTAGTGTTGATAGGTAATTATATTAAGAATGTTAAGAATTATTACTTCTAAGATTGAAAAAAAAAAGAAAATAATATAAAATAATAATATAAAATATAATAATAATAATTAAATTTTTTTATGAAATACAGTCGTCTTTCTACGGGTTCTACGAAAAGCGAAATGTTGGATCGAGAAAAGAAGCACGGTAAAGGTATAATAAAAAAAATTACAACCAAATTGACTAAATCAGCCAGTGTTGATGATCCAAATATTTCTATGGATCATTCTCTTCAGGTAAATAAACAACGATATTTTTGTTTGAAAAAAAAACCTATCGTTTCAATGATTTAAACAAAATTTTTTTTTTTCATAGACATCAGGATCCGAGACAAGTATCAATGAGAAAACTAAAGAAGAAAAGAAAAATTTAAAGAAAAAGTTAACAGATATGTTCAAAAGAGGTTCAAGAAGTGGCAGGTATATTATTATTTAAAAAAAAAATAGAAAAATTTATATTTTCAACTGTCATTTTTAAAAATTGATTAAATTATACAAAAAGTACAATTTAAAAAACTGAAAAATTAAAAAAATTAATAAGTAATAAATTATATATTAATATTAATATTATATTCAATATATGTACATAATTATGAAAATAATTTAATTTCGAAAGTGATATTAATAATATAAAATTTTAGCAATAAGATCAAAATTTTCGCAATATGGACAAAAAAAATATAATATTCTTTCTATATTTTCAGTATAGAGAAGAAGATAAACTCTAATAATAGTAGACCAGAATCAAGAAATTCCACAACGTCGAATAAATGATTCAGTCATAAATTCTAAAATATAGCATTATATCGATACTACACACATTTAAATGTATAATGATTTTGACGACAAATGATTTTAAATTACCATCAATAATATGAAAATAAGGGATTTCTCAATAATGTGTGATTAGAATATATACAAAAAAATATAATTTTGTATACATATATATCGGATATCCCTTTACTATTTTAATCTCAAATTTACATAAGCATTTTCAAATATTATATTGTATATAAGTAAATATATATACAAGGCACCATACGAAACTGCAAATAAAAAAGAACTTATTATAAATAACTAGTACATACAGTTTTTCCATTAACGTCTTCTTTGTTAATTCCTTTATTATTGTTCCAATTTCTTGTGTCACGAATCACGCTTTTCTTTTTTCGATTTTCGTTTATGTTTCGAACTTTTATGTTCTTTGTGTTTATGTTTTTTCTTTTCTTTCTTTGTTTTTTTCATTTTTTCTCGTTCTATCCATACACCAGAAATTTTTGAGTCCATTTTGGGTTTTGGTATTACAACACTTTTAAATATAGGTTTTGAAAATTGTGAACTGGATGCTTCTGGTACTTCGTTTTTATTTTTCAATAATCTTGAAGGAAGAGCAGGTCCATACATATCAGGTAATAATTGAGTTTCTGAATTTAATTTATCATCATTCTGTTTCGATTTAATTTCTGATTCGGAATGTGTTGTATTTATATTTTCTTCTTTATTAATTCCTTCATTTGATTGTATACTAGTTCTTGAATTAATAACTAATAAACTATCAAGATCCACTTTTGCAAAAATTCCCCTTGGTGGAGAAGTATTTCTATTTAGATTTATTTCGCTTGGAACTTTACCAATTAAAACAGACTTTACAGTTTCGCTATCTACGCTTTCCTCTAATTCGGAATCCGATTCCTCACTACTGCTTAAGAAAATTGCCTTAAATAAATCTTTCTTTTCTTTTGATGTACTTTTTAATGTAATATTTGTTGCAGAATTGATTTCTTCCTGATCTTTATCTTGTTGATCTGTAATCTCTGTTACTCTTTTTGGGTCAGATTTATCATCTATATTTTGTTCATTTTCTAACATTTTAGAAGATGTTTCTGGCATTTCTTTTCCAAAAACTTTTTCATAAGAAACTTCAAAGTTTCTCATTTTTTCTGATATAGGTTCGAAAGTTTGATCATTTTCAAAAGATTTATTATTATTTGTTTTAACATTCAAATTTGTATTGTCAATGATGTTTTTATCTTTTGGCGATATATTAATTTCGTTTGATTCTTTCGATGCCCGTAAAAATTTTGTAGAATTATTCCAATCAAAAGAATCGAAAATTGAAAACTTTGCTGATTTCTTCTGCATCTCAGGAGCACAACCGATTTTTGGTTCAGGAATGTTAAATCTTTTACATACTATGCTTGCTGGTTTCCATTCCATGCGTTCTCGAGTTAATTTTCCAAACATTTTCATTTTTACAGCTTGTTTCATTTCATCCTCCTGATTAAATGTTGTAGAAACATTTATATTTGTAGAATCATGAGTATTTTCAACATGATCATTCGTTGATTGATCAATTAATTTAATTGCTTGTTCAAATTCAATTCGTTCATGTTCTCTATCCCATTCTGTCATAGATAATGATTGTATACTTTCAAGCTTATTTTTTTCTCCCTGTCTCATAAAAACTAAATATTGTTCAAAACGTCTTTGTTTATCAGGATCAGAAAAAAATGATTTCATGTTATTGTTTTTCATAAAATTATTTTTATCTAACTCATTAGTACTTGTATTTGTTTGTTCAGAAGTTGATGAATCTTTAAATTCTTTTAATTCTTTCAAACTTTTCTCAAAATCTTTACCAGGACCAATAATACCTCCTTTAACAAAACTTTGTACATTTAGTTTCTCCATCCATGAACTAGCTAGTTTAGATCCTTGATTTTTTTCTTTTTGTCTTTCTTCAGTTTGTTGCTTTCCGTGTAAATTTAATGTTTTAGAAATAATATTGGAAGCAACTGATGGTACTGAATTTGGATATATTTCAGATGGTTTTTTCACACTGCATGTATCTTCCAATATTCTAGCTCTGTCCGCAGCTGTTAAATCTTTTCGCTTTCCATTTTCAATTGCACGATGAACATTTTCAATTGGAGGATAAAATCGACTTTTTCTAATTATATGCACTGGTACAAAATCCTTTGGTAATACTGGAGGTTGAAAAATTGTTTTTAGTTTTAATTTATCTTTTGCTAATATAAAGCCTTCTAAACAATTACTACTTAAATTTTTCGAATTATCATCAGACCATCTTGTCTTAGATTTCCGTTCTGGAGCTAGAGAAAAATCGTAACGTGACATATCTTCTCTTTCATATATATCATCATCATCAGCTTCAAATGCACCAACTCCAAATGCTTGTCCATGTATTGACAATTTTTTATTTTTGTCTTGCACATTAAATGCTGGAGTATCAAATAAATTTACATGACCAGATAATATTGTTCTTCTGTCTAAACCACTGTATCCTATACCAAAATAATTGTCTTTTGGATTACATCTGTAAAAAATAGATATAGTTAATATATTTTTGTTTTTAAAACTATATATTAATATTTACCTAAATGGTTCATAGTCATCAGGTGCAAATGTAACATTCTCATAATCATCTTCTGAATCCTCAGAACTATTTTCTGAGCTTGTCTTTCTAGATATTTGTTGTATATTTTTCATTTTTTCATTTCTTTTTTTAATTTTAGCTTTCTCTTTTTTTGTAAGTCTTGATCCTATACCTTGTCCTGGTCTCCATCCCATTTTTTTTAATAACATAATACCAACTGTTTCTCTATTATAACAAATCATCATTATTGAAATTAATAATTTGGAGTTTATTAAATTATTTAATTTTAACTTCTTATATAACAAAGATATTTACTTTACAGGTTTTAAAAGTTCTTTTAATACTGGAGTGCCAGGAATAGGACCATTGCTATCATAAATAGGTCTCTCACGTTTTGTTCCTCTTTGACCATGATCAACATAATCCTCTGTAGCACGAATTCCTGTTGGTGCAATTCCAAATTCACTTGTATCTTCTTCATCCATAAAATCTTCTGGACGCTGCGTTATACTTTCTGCTTTACTACTTCTGGAAGATTTGAATTGTTGTGGTCTCCAACCATCTCTTGTGCCTACTGTATTAAAATATCCAGCAGAAAAACCACCTGTAAATGCACCGTGAAATCTACGTCTTCCTTGTGCATCATATGCATATTGATCTTCAATTGTCATTGGTTTTTTTCTCGGTAAATTATCTACAATAATCATGTGAAAATATGTATAATAATATATAATAATTGTTTATATGCCGAAATTTTTTATTTACCTTCGTCTAATGGATCAAGAGGTACTCCAAATGTAACATAATTTTCATCTTCAGAATCACTCATTTTTTTGATATTCAATATTTGATATTTAATTAATCAAAACATGAAAAACTTATTCTTAATTTATAATCTTTTTAATTATTAAAAATAATGCATTTGAGGTTAAATGGGACAATGACAAAAAAATTTTTTCTTTCATTTTCAATAAACTTTACGTTATTTCGTTATAGAATATATCTATATTTGAGATAAATTCTGATAACGTGATTAATAAAATAAAATATTTTAAAAATTATAGAAATGCTTGTAAACCAACTAGCAATTGCTTTAGTTTTTTCTTTCTAGAAAATTAATGGTACGTACATTGGTAAGGGACACTTTAACCAATAATGAAATAGTTAATAGGAACTTTTTAACTGAAGTTAGTGGAATAATATATTTTTGAAGCAGCAGGGGATAATTTGGAACAAATTTACGAAGTATACAAAAACACTTAAATAGAATATCAGTGTAAAATTAATTTAAAGAAGTAATCGTTATGCGGCGAATTATAATAAAGTTTGATAAATTTGTAAGAAAAAGTAATAATTGCGAAAAAAAAGAAGTTAAGGAATAGATGGCGTGTGAAATAATTTTTGATAAGATAGTGCAAGTGAACCCTTTCTTCAACTTAGAGCCAGTTTGAAGGGTCGCACAACATTTGAATATGATAAGTCAAACGTCAGAGGAATTTATCATGACTGCACCAACAAATACAACAAAAATATCAAATCAAGACTTGAAACCACAGAAGTTAAACGATAGAACATTTGATTTTCTTTGGTGGCGTGATTCACGACGTAAGAACGTATTAAAAAAGGAAGAGAACCAAAAGAAAAAAGAAGATTTGATAGAAGTAAAAATCATTGAAAGTAAAACAAAAAATACATTTTTTCATAAAACATCTTTCGATTTTTTTAAGAATATTAAGAAACATATACAAATCAAAAAGTTGACACATAAATCAAAACAAAGAGTAAGTAACAATAATTTGGATAAAAATATTTTTGTTTTATATATAACAAAAATATTATATATTTTTACAGACGAAAGAAGTTGAAACATCTAGCCTACAAAATGATACAAATTATGATCTATCAGCATTTCAAAACAATAAATCTACAATTTCTACAGAAGAAAATAATGTTTCTGAATTAAAATGTGAAGACATTGTTAAAAATTCTGATATTCTAAACAGCAATGAAACTTTGACAGATATAGATATAGAAATATCACAAAATCAATATACTTCAGAAGATTTAAATAAAATTATAAAAGATTATAGAGATATTGAAAAATTAGAAGATATTAATGAACAAATTACTAATAAGTTCCAAACAGATATTAATCATGAAAATATTTCTAACATATTTCGATCATGTTCCAGTAATAAAATAGAGCAATTAGAATCGAGAACAATAATAGAAAATAATGCAATAACACATCAAGTTGAAAGAATTACAGAAAGTACAGAGACTAATAGAAATAATGATAATAAAATAAAAGCAAGTCTTACAGAAGAATTGCTTAAATTAAGTAATTATGGATGGTATTGGGGTCCAATATCAGGAAATGAAGCTGATGCCAAACTTCTATCTGAACCAGATGGTGCATTTTTAGTAAGGGACTCTTCAGATGACAGGTTATTTTTTTCTACTTCCTTTTTTTCTTTGTAATTTTAAAATATCATTGCAAAGAGCATATGAAATATTTTAATATTTATTTTTTTACAGATATGTCCTAACACTTAGCTTTAAATCATCTGGCAAGTTACTTCATGCTCGTATGGAACATAGTGGTGGTTTATTTTCTTTATGTAACCAAAGTGAAAGTGAAGGATTTAGTTCAGTAGCTGATTTAATTGATTATTCAATGAATTTTAGTCAGTCTGCAGTCTTTTGCTATTCACGACCTAAGTATCCTGGTCATCCATCTTTTCCAGTTAGATTAACAAAGCCAGTAAGCAGATTTACCCAAGTTCGAAGTTTGCAATATCTTTGTCGTTTTGTTATACGTCAAAATACTAGATTAGATAATATTCATAAGTTGCCTTTACCAAAAACAATTAAAGGTTATATTGAAGAAGCACATTATTAATATTGGTTTTTTGAAAAATACTTGTTATAGTATAAAATATTGATAATATTTTGATAACAAGTATTGATAACATAAGTTTTTAAATATTTTATCTTTTGTATTGTAAAGCAATATTTTTTTCAAAGAAATCTACTTCTAAAAAATGATAGATTAGATATGATCATCTTTTTATAAAAATTGAGATCTTCATTTTTAAAGTTATCAAGATTTTCAATTTTATGAAAATTGATTAATATATTACATGTAATTATATCAATCAATGATAATGAACAATATGTAAATGATAGTTTATAGTAAATAATCTCTTGCATGAATTACTTCATAAACTATATATAATTATTATATATTTTAATGTAATTCAAAGTTTAAACAATTCATGAAGTACTTGGCTGTGTGGTGTGTTTGTAAATACATTTTTTATAGTAAAATAATCTCCTGCTCAATTGAATAGTAAGAATGAAAATTAATCTCTTGTTCAATGGAGATTTAACATAATTTTGTATAAAACATAAGAATATATTATTTTAATTATGACAATATTGCAGGGTAATTGTTAAATATTATTAAATCTATATTTCTAACAGTTTATATCTTTCTATCTTGCATAGAAATAAATCACATATATTAAATTCAGTCTCAAATGTACAGATCTTGTTAAAATATGATATCAAAATAAATTAGCCATGATTATTAATTCCCTTTAATGTTATTTTTTTTTAATACCACTGCTAAATAAACTCTGTACATAAATTCTTTTGATAAATTTTCATTTGTAAGAAATGAATTTATATTCCGTGCTTTTATTTTAGTGATCTAGTAATAATTAATACCATAAAATATTATATAATATTAATTATTTTTTTTCTACCTATTCCAATTCAGTCCAAGTATATTGCGTGCCTGTTGAAAATAAAAATATTTAGTACTTTATTTGGTATATAATTATTTTATTAAATGATATTTAAAATTTTAAATACTTACTGTAACAAAAGCAGCAGTTGCAGCTTCAGTAGCACGATTTAAGGCTTGATCTGGTAAAGCCATATCAGAAGTTGTTGTTAGAATCATTTGAATTTGTGTAGCATCTTTAATTCGTCTATCCAAAAAATGCCAAGTTTTTTGATGATCTTCACTATTATCTTGTATCATGTACAATTCCGTAGTTTTATAAATACCTGCTAGTACTATTCTTCTAGTATACCAGTTTATCTAATTCAAATAAATTTCAATAAAACATTTTAAAGTATATTTGAAAAATAAAACTATATATATAAAAATAAACATATTCTTACATCAACTGATCTATCACCAGCATAATAGCAAATATCATCTACTAAAGTAAGTAAATTAGCTAATGACATTGGTACATTAGGTGGAAGAGACATAAGAGCTAAAGCTTGTGGCCATATTTTTTTATAAGGAATCACCATTCTAAGCCTTGTCTCAACAGCATTACGTGCTTCTAATAATAGTGTTTTTGTTTCTTTAGGATTTTCTTGATTTGCAAGAGCTTGCTCTTTAAGGATGTTATTCAATTTTTTATTGCATGTTAAGTAGAAATAGTGAACCAAATCTGCTCCTCGATTAGGGAATAATCCATGAATTATCCCAGGATACCCAATAGACTCAGCACCTTTGGTATATAACTTTTAATAATTAAATTAAATATTTTTATTTATTATCTGCATTATATACTAATAATATGAAATTATTGTTTTCAAATTAAAACTGAAAGCAATTAGTAAACATGTTAATTAGTAAACATGTAATACATTTAAAATATATTTATTTATTCATATAAAGGCTTCATTCTGACTCATCTACTTAACTGAAAAATTATTACAAATTACCAGCACTGATGGCTTTATGACTCCATCCTAGATCATGAACATATTTTAAAGATGCCTCGAGAATTTTTAATTTGATATTTTTTTCGTATTCTTCTTCACTTTCATTATTTCTATATTTCTGATTTGATTTTTGTGTATCATTTTTAGTTTGATCATTGAATAAAACTCTACAAGTCCATAAACTTCTAAAACCTATTAAAATCAAAATTTTTTAAATTTTCTTTTCAAGAAATATGATTTCATAAAACAATAAATGATAGGATACAGTCAAAATACATAAAATATAAATGAAGTATGATTTTATTAAACAGTGAATGATATACATTTTATAAATGTACAATTTTTATTTTGATACTATAAAGATATTATGTGATTATTATAATCACACATATAATTATTATGTCATTTAAAAGAATTATTATCAATACATTCATTGACTCTAATTAAAATGCTTTCCATCACATCAAGACCATTTATTGCTTGATTACAAAATGAAATTTTTTCTGAAATAGGCATTGGAGGTAATTTTTCACCACCAACATTTAATATTATTTCTGTACCACTTTTTTCTAATTCTATATTTTCAATTATTTTATGAATTTTCTTTTGTTCTTCTAAATCTTTTATTTTTACTTTCCAATGTGCTCTACATAGATCTAATCCTTCTCTTAATGGTTTTAAATAATCATTTTGTAGTTTATTTACTAAGTTCCAAATACCAGTTTGATTTTGCTTATCTTTTATAAATAAAAATCTCAACAAATTTAAACTCGTAATTATTTCATCAGATAATTCCACCAAATCAGATGCACTACCATGATGTAATTTACAAGCTAATTTGATTAAAGTTTCCAGATTACTACCAAGAAAATATGGTAGATGAGGTGTTTCTTGAAGACATTCAATAATAGAAGTTTTAACTATTCCAGTAGTTAAACTAAGTAAACCTGAATGCTCACTAGTTTGATATAAATGCAAAACAACAAAATACCTAGCTTGCATATCAAACATGTCAATATAGTTTTGAAATATATTTAAAGCTTTTTTCCTTTCTTTATCACTATTGCAATAAATCATTACTTTTGTAAGTACATTAAACAACTCAAAATATATATTCAATTCTAATAATGGTAATGTTAAAGAATATTTTGTTATTCTCATTAAAAGATGATTCATAAAATTTAAACCTTTTGTAACACTTTCTTGTTCTTGTAGTAATTTAATAATAAAATATATACATGCTTGAAAAATATATTGCATATCATATACCTGTGGCACCCTTTCCCACAAATGAATTTTTGTTATAACATAAAAATAAAAGTTAGCATATGCCAAATCTGATATATTCTCACTTAATTCAAAAAGTGTTATTTTAAGATTAAAATTGTTTACTTCTATATTTTTTTTCCTGGAATTGATCTTTCTATTTCGTACACTTACAATATTTAAAAGCCATAGCAAATCTCCAGTTATATGACTTGTAAGTGTTACAATTCTCTCAGGTAAAGATTGATTTAAACAAGATTCTACTTCTTTCTCTTCTAAATAATATAATGGCTTTCCCATTAAAAAAATTAAAATGCTAGCTAAATAATCTCTTAATATGATATATTTTTCTGAATTCTTTAACTTTGATTCATTTATTAATGGTTCTAAAAATAATATAACTGCATCATAAGCATTTTTTATTTTATTTATAATAGCAATATAGTTTTGTGATCCTTTTTCTGGTATAGGTAGACTTTCAATATAAGATCTTATAGTACTAATACACCATTCTATTGCCTTCATTTTATCCTTCATCTTAGAAAGACATTTAGTAAGTATACTTAGAATTATAGAAAATTTTATGACATCCTCTGGACCTTCTATTTGTTCTAATAGTTCTAATACTGTCTCAGAAGGATTACATTTTTCTACTATAGTATTTAAAATTGTTTTACAACATTCAATTAAATCTTCGTTGCATTTTATGTTTTCTGCAGTAAGATGAGATGCTACAATTGGAACAATATCCCATGAAGAGTCTTTAATAATATCATCATATTTACTATCCTCAAAGAGATTCAAAACTTCTTTGAATTTATTTTTTTTTAAATCGTTTGTTAATTTTTTAATAAATGTCTTTGTAAAATCTTCTTGTAGTTCTGTCATTTTTCACTTGAATAATTTATCACATAAATAACTTTATAAAATATAGTAAAACATAACCTCTTCTTTTAGCGTATTTAATAATATTTTCATAAATAAACAAAATATCACTAAATACACAAAATTACGTGTTATTTTAAAATGAATATCTAAAATAAAATAGATTGCATAGTTACAACGATATTAAAAAAGATTATGTCTTACTTATGCGATCGTATTATATTATAAACAAAACCATATATATTCATTGTCAACGAAAAATATATAATATAAAACTTGCGTAAACAAATGCAATCATCAAATATATTGTACAACTTATAATATTTTATTTATAAATTAAATAATTTATTTCGAAATTTCAGTAACGAATGTCAAGATGAAAATGATATGCATATGAATTGTGATTGGCATATGTTACAAATAAAGAAAATACGCTTACCATTTACTGAAAGACCTTTACGCATTAATAAAATGCTAGACATGGCCATATCAATAGCTTTAAATAAACTTACTTGTTGCACATTTATGGTCACACACGGCGAAACATCGATTATTATTATTCTATTCAGGAGAGTCGTTTAGATACAGATTTGTAAATTATGCTTTAATTCTTGTTCTATTTACGAATCTGCCTAAATGTTTCGTTTGTTTTTGTTTATTCTTTTGCATTTTACCTAGCATAATAGATAGAAACTATAGGTTTTATTAAAAAAAGAAAGGAAACATTGTAAATCATATAGTAGTATAAAAATTTAAAAAAAATTGATTATTAGTATTTAGGTTACAAATTTATATTTTCGTTTAGTGCGAGGGCACCAGTTGTACTAAGAAAATCTCGCTAAAAGTGTGTGTTATCGATGTCTATTGATAAGGTTGTTTATGCCAAAAAATGTAATAAAATATTGTGAAAACAAAGCTATAAACAGGTTAAGGAAATTAAAATTTTTATACTGTGTGTTTAGTGTATCAAACTGGAGATGGAAAATAGTGGTGAAAGTGGTGATGATGGAGGACCTTTAGGCCCGACTGCGTTTCTTGGAGGAGGTGGTGTTTCTGCATCGTATATCAGTGTACAGTCTGACGATATGGAAGGTAGGTTAATAATATTTTGGAAAATTTTTAAAACAAATTAAAAATTGTATTTATATTTAATATTATGAAATCAAATTTGTAATAAATCGTTTTTTTATAGAAAAAAAAATTTATATATATTTTATTATTTGTAATTTCAATATATTTCTATTCTAAAATTTGAAGTATAATAAGATTTTATAATATATCGATCAATATAAAATAAATATTCATCTCATATTGATATGAAATTATGTAAAATTTATAGTATTTATATATATATTTTTTAGATGATCCTGAAAATACAGATGATTCAAATCATGGGGCAAGTGATCCTTTGCAAGGAGCTGGAAGTGGCAATGTTGGAGGGCCTCTTCGTGAACAAGATCGATTCCTTCCAATAGCAAATGTAGCAAAAATTATGAAAAGAGCAATACCAGAAGCGGGAAAAATAGCAAAAGATGCACGCGAATGTGTTCAAGAATGTGTATCCGAATTTATATCTTTTATCACATCAGAAGCAAGTGATCGATGTCATATGGAAAAACGAAAAACTATTAATGGTGAAGATATTCTATTTGCTATGACAACTCTTGGTTTTGACAATTATGTAGAACCACTAAAAGTATATCTACAAAAATATAGAGAAGCAACAAAAGGAGACAATCCAGGTAATGTTCCAACAACAGGCAATGGAAAAACTGAACCACAAGGAACAATATATGAAGATCAATTATTTGCTATTGCTGCAACTGCATCTAGTGCTACCACTTCTGATACACCTGTTATATATAGTTATACGTCCACTGATCAAATGCAATTTCAACTTTCTTGATCACTGTATATTAAAATGATATTAATATAAATTATTTAACTTAAAATGCAATTTACAATGCAACTATGTCAACTATACATATATCTTATTCATGTAAGATTGCATTTTGTAAGACTGTAAAATCAGTTTAATGATAAACTGATAATTATAAGAATAGAACAACATAAATGTTCTTAAATATTTTGAAAAGAAAGTGACTTAACTTTAAGCAATCCTTGTAAAAAAAATAAAAATATGGGAGGAAATAAAGCAGGAAGCAATCCAAAAGCTCATTGATAATTATTTTTTTTTTATACTTTTTCAAACATAGTAGGGGTAGAAAAACATAGCCGATTGTTTCTTTAACTATTACTTTTAAGCGCTAGAATTCGCATTTAAACTAGAATTAGGCTGTGATGGTTTTCTTCTTTTTGTTTGCGAAAACGGTTCAGGTCAAATGGAAATAAAATATTCTATATTGGACAAGAACCGGCAGTTAATCGGCGTATAGATTCTCGTAGAAAATGTTCGAAACACGTTTTCACTCTGGTAATTGGGCAGGAGAGAGCAAGAGCTCATGTGCTTTTGTTGATGATGATGCAGCGCCACTTGAAGACATGGCCGATTGTTGTTGTTGCTGTCGTTGACGAGTTGGTGATAAAAGTGAGGCGGTAGGTAATGTTCCAGCAGGTCGAGCTTCCGTTTTCCTCACTTTTTCTTTTTTATCAGAAGCAACATGACAAAATCGCCAGCGGCATTGACCGCAACGACATAAACAGAGGCAGAGCAGCACCCGAAATAGACAACACAGTAAACCGGCGCACAGTAGTGAAGGACCCACCAGCCTCAATTCTGGACTGAGGAATCCTTTCTCTCCAGTGCCGACAAACGATATAACTAATCCGAGCGCTGTAGTTCCTAGCCCCGCATAAAGTACAGTATTCACTGCCGCGCTAACTTCACCTCTACGACGGTTTGCATTACTGCTTCCATCTTCTTCGTCATCTTCTCCACTGCTTCCATAGCAATAGCTTGCATCTCTTATCTAAAAACGATGGATATTATTGAATTTTGTATTTTATATTTACAACACATTTTAACATAATATTAAGTAAAATTATTTAATAGATATTCATAAATGAATTATTTTTTATAATATTATAAATTAAAAATTTTGATCTTAAATTGCATTATAAAAACAGACACTTATTTACTCTGTTTCTCTTCATCCATCGTCGATGAGCCTCGCATTGCTTTGTCTTGTAGCCATCCCCACGACATGCGTGAGGCGACATAGGAGATAAAGGAAGGGGAGAAGGTCTGCTGCAACCTTGCCATGCTGCTTTGCCAGGTCCTCCACCACACTGAAATTATTTTCTGTTCAGGTATTATCTTTATAAAATTTTCTAATAACTACAATTAAAAATCATTCAATGCTTCAGTATCTATTGTATTTTGATATAATAAAATTGTCAACAATCTAATATATTAAATACTTTTTAACATTTTTCTTAATCTATAATTATAAATATTTATACTATTGTATAAAATATAAATAAATATAAAACTTGAAATCAATAATATTATTATTATGTTCTTTACATCTTTCTCTATCATTTCAAGCATGTTCATTGAAATAAACATCTATCATTTGTTACTATTATTAGAAAAATTTAATTAATGATTTTTGTCCTCGTTACTCAGCACATAAGATAAAAAACATGCATGCATTTACTAAATAGAACATAGAAAAATTTGCATAAATGGAACCAATTGAGATGTGTATAAATATTTTATACGTACATGTATCGTAGAACTTGTCTACACAAGTACACTGTAATCATTGCATTCTAATTGACAACAAAGAATTGATTAAACATAATTAGTAGCAGTTATTAATCTTTAAGTATAGTATAGTGCATATTGTAAGAATTACAATTTTTTGCACTTATATTATATTATATATTTTAAAATTATTATTATGTATTTTTGAGAAACTTCTTTAAAATATTTCTATAAGATGAATATCAAATAATTATTTAGTAGTTTTATTTTATTGAAGTACGTGTTAATATTTTAAATTAGAATAACAAAATATTAAAATATTTTAAATTGTAAATTTATTTTCAAACTCTTTCTCTCTTTTCTCTGAATTCATATCATCAGCAATCATATTTTTTTAAGTATAAACAAAAATTAGTGCACAATAATATAAGGAATTTATTAGTTCTATGATAAGAGAAAGTAATAAAGGGACAAACATCACTACACAATATAATTTTTTTTCAAGAGCTATAGAAGGTTAATGCACATATAATTAGCTAGAGAAGCGACAGTTACCCTCTGATGCCAATAGTTACTGTTGATGATATTAAAATGATTTTAATACTTACCCCATAAACATATGATCGTGGGGGATATCGTGGAAGCGGCGGAATAAGTCTGGTGGCCAAGTTGGAGGGTAAATCTCTAAAGTTCACCACCTTACCCCCCCGTAACCGTTGCTTCTCCCTTCTAATCAATAAAGCAGCCTGCATTCCGCTCATTCATTTGCCTGTTTCATTGATCCTTAAGATCTCGACCGTCCTGCTCCTTCCCCTCCTTCTCTTTCTCCTTTCCACTTTTTACACAGTAAAATTTTAACTTTTTCCCTTATTTTTTGTTTGCCCAATCAAAAATCAAAAAAACCACACAAGTTTCTTCTCAAAGGTCTCCCAATTGTGATTGATACCAGACACTACAACTTACTCCTAACATTGCACTGTCTGCCTCCAACATTAGGTGATGTTTGTATCCGCTGATAGGAACCAGGAGGGACATGTTAATTACTAAAAATTACAATTTAGTTTGGATAAGCAGCTGACGAACCTGGAGCCGCTCGAGGATGAGTTATCGCGGGTTTATACGCCACCAGACAGCCGATCGATGGTGTATTCCTAATAAGTAAAGGTGTGCCAGCAAGAAGAAGGTGCAAAGTGCAACGAGGATTATCGAAATACTTGAATAAGGAAATTGCAGTATATAAGTATGTGATAGGGTTACCTAGCAAGAGCAACTAGTGTGATAGAGAAAGAAGAGAAATAGAGCTAAAAGATAAAGATAATAAAACGACCTTAGAGCAATTTATAAAAAATTACTGTTAAACAATCTACCCACCTGTAGCTCTGAAGAAGATGGTGAAACTCGGAGATCGAGGATCGATGTTGGTGGAAAAGGAAAATTAGATTTAGTGGCACAAGTAACTGAACTAGGTGATTCAAGGGATAGTGGTGGTGGCGATATTGGAAACTGGATTGGAGAAACAGGTGCAACTTGCTGACACTTCTCGACATGACGCCGTCGATCGATGCTCGGATGAAATGTAGATGACGGTGGTTGTGGCTGTGGTGTGGAAGATGGTGGAACAACGTGCGGACGAGCAAACTTGCTGGGGTGATGGTGTTGATGGTGGTAGTGGTGCTGAGAAGCTGGAATTGTCTTCAACCGTGATGGAATTGTACTCTCAGCGACGCGTCTGTTTAACTGCAATCGTTTCTGCTTCCTCCTATTCGCTATACTGGCGCCACCCGCAGCTGCGTACATCGCTTCGCACCCTGATTATACTCTTCCCGGTTTAACGCCTTCGGGCCAGGCGTTCTTTCTGTTACGAGCTTAGATTCCTTTGCATCGTCTTCCTGTTTTTTTTGTCTGTAAAGGCAAGAAACATGACGGATATCCGCCCACTATTGGCGGCCGTCATTCTAATTCTACTAATATTCTAAGTATTCTAGCATAAAGCACATAAAAAGCGTTTTATTTACAGCGATATTTACGTATTATACGGAAAATTTATTTAAATACTTTTGCTTATTGAAAACAAATAGTAATAAATGATATATTTGTTAAATATTTTTTAACTTTGGAATTTACAATTAGCTACTAATAAACTAATAAATATTAACATATTTTTATATAATTATTATGAAATGAGATAGATTTGTAGTTAAAAAAATTAAAATGATATAATATATCTATATAAATTTGAAATATTTAATATGATATAATATTGTATTATTTTTATACAAAAAAAATGCGTAATATATTATAAAAATATAAAGAAATATAATTTTATTGTTATTTAATAATATATAAAATATATGTAAAATAGTAGTAAATTATAACATGCATCATATATATATAAGCGAATCATTTATAAAGATAAAACAAAATAAAATATATTTTTATTTAAAAATTTAAATAAAATTAAATGAAAT